CCCTCTGTCACACAGAGAGAACACCCCTCTGTCACAGAGAGAACACCCCTCTGACACAGAGAGAAACACCCCTCTGTCACACAGAGAGAACACCCCTCTGTCACACAGAGAACACCCCTCTGACACAGAGAGAACACCCCTCTGTCACACAGAGAGAACACCCCTCTGTCACAGAGAGAACACCCCTCTGTCACACAGAGAGAGAACACCCTCTGTCACACACAGAGAGACACCCCTCTGTCACACAGAGAGAACACCCCTCTGTCACACAGAGAGAACACCCTCTGTCACACAGAGAACACCCTCTGTCACACAGAGAGAACACCCCTCTGTCACAGAGAGAACACCCCTCTGACACACAGAGAGAAACACCCTCTGTCACAGAGAGAACACCCCTCTGTCACACAGAGAGAACACCCCCTCTGACACAGAGAGAACACCCCTCTGTCACAGAGAGAACACCCCTCTGTCACACAGAGAAACACCCCTCTGTCACACAGAGAGAACACCCCTCTGTCACAGAGAGAACACCCCTCTGACACACAGAGAGAACACCCCTCTGTCACAGAGAGAAACACCCCTCTGACACAGAGAGAACACCCCTCTGACACAGAGAGAACACCCCTCTGTCACACAGAGAGAACACCCTCTGTCACACAGAGAGAACACCCCTCTGTCACAGAGAGAACACCCTCTCTGACACAGAGAGAAACACCCCTCTGTCACAGAGAGAGAACACCCCTCTGTCACACAGAGAGAACACCCCTCTGTCACAGAGAGAGAACACCCCTCTGACACAGAGAGAACACCCCTCTGACACAGAGAGAGAACACCCCTCTGACACAGAGAGAACACCCCTCTGACACAGAGAGAACACCCCTCTGTCACACAGAGAGAACACCCCTCTGACACAGAGAGAACACCCCTCTGTCACACAGAGAGAACACCCCTCTGTCACAGAGAGAACACCCCTCTGACACAGAGAGAACACCCCCTCTGACACAGAGAGAACACCCCTCTGTCACAGAGAGAACACCCCTCTGACACAGAGAGAACACCCCTCTGACACAGAGAGAGAACACCCCTCTGACACAGAGAGAACACCCCTCTGACACAGAGAGAGAACACCCCTCTGACACAGAGAGAACACCCCTCTGTCACACAGAGAGAACACCCCTCTGACACAGAGAGAACACCCCTCTGTCACACAGAGAGAACACCCCTCTGACACAGAGAGAACACCCCTCTGTCACAGAGAGAGAGAACACCCCTCTGTCACAGAGAGAACACCCCTCTGACACAGAGAGAGAACACCCCTCTGTCACAGAGAGAACACCCCTCTGACACAGAGAGAGAGAACACCCCTCTGTCACAGAGAGAACACCCCTCTGACACAGAGAGAACACCCCTCTGACACAGAGAGAACACCCCCTCTGACACAGAGAGAACACCCCTCTGACACAGAGAGAACACCCTCTGACACAGAGAGAACACCCCTCTGTCACACAGAGAGAACACCCCTCTGACACAGAGAGAACACCCCTCTGTCACACAGAGAGAACACCCCTCTGACACAGAGAGAACACCCCTCTGTCACAGAGAGAACACCCCTCTGTCAGGTTAAAGTTTTGTTTCTGTGAAGAAAAACAAATGAAACGGTAATAGACATTGTTTGTTGAATATGCAGATGTAATTGATGATACTATATGTTAATGATGGTATGAAAATAATGTAATAATGAATTTAAATGAAAATACCTCAAGTTGAAGCTTTTCTCAGCAATTTTTATGTGAGATTAAAAAAGAGATGAATTAGATGAATTAATTACAGATCATAATTAATTCATCTCTAAATGTTTTTAATGGCTTGACAGCACTAGTTTTCCCGTTACAGATTAAGGACAGTACCTTGTTCTGGCGGAGACGGTCTTGGATTCTGGGGTTTGTCCCGAGACGTGGACACAGACGAGGAGGAAGAAGAGGAGGAGGAGGAGGAGGAGGAGGAAGAGGAGGAGGAGGAGGAGGAGGCATGGCTGTGTCTCTGTGAGCCCTGAGGAGACGATGGTCTGGTCCCGGACTCGGTCTGGCCAGAGACTGGTCTGGTCCTGGACTCTGGAGGCTCAGGTTTCCTTGGGTCAGAAGGATTTGGGATACTGTTGGACTGAGGAGGACTGGGTCTGGTTTGGACCGATCCAGAAGCAGGACTGAAGCCTGGAGAGACAAAGAGAGAAACATAATTGCACAATAATTCCATGATTTAGTTTGTTAACCTGCAGACGGAAACCAGCTTCAGCTAAATCTGAGGTAAAACATCTGATCGAGTCCTGTTCAAACACTCAAGTCCAAATTCAGAACTGCGCCGGGATTCAGATCAGAGTTTGTTCCTCTCGTTCTTGGTTTAAAGTGTGTGACCTGCTGTGTCTCTGTGTGAGGAGTTGGACGGCAGCAGCAGCGCCCCCCGGTGGCCCAGCTGCTCGATGGCTCTGTGGTTGAACTGCAGCGCCGAGGCGGAGTAATGATACCCCGGACCGGCCGGACAGATCTCCTTAAACGCAGCTGAGGACACAACAAACCACATGACATTAAAACATAGAGTACTTTCAGGTATTTAGGTATTTTAGAATAATCACAGGATTGATTTTTTTTTATTTGTACAAAAAACGATGATGCGGCGATGCTCAATCCAACATGTGTCACAGATTAAGTTAATCAAACTGGAGAAGGAAGTGTGTACGGGTCATTTCACGCCAAATCTCCGCCCGACCTGCTCAGATTTGACTGAAAAAATTCTAGGAGGTTCACACACTTTCCAACTGATTTGAGTGGATTTACTGTTTTCAGATGATGTGACCAAATCTGAGCAATTTAGTTTTTTGTTGTTGCACTTTGGAAACTGTTTTGTTTGTAAAATGTGATGTAGAATTAAAGTGGATTTGGACATAGAGAAAGACAAAAACCAAACGAGTGTGATGAGGTGAAAGGAGAGTCTGACCTGATCCGAAGGGGGGGCACCTCTGGCAGTCCTCCCCCCACGCCTTCCCCACGCGACTGCAGCAGCAGATCTGTTTGGTGATGGAGCGAAGGATCGGCAGAGAGCAAGAAAGAGGAGAGGAAAGAGGAGACACCACCCGGAAACACTGACCCTTCTCATCCGAGATCACTCTGTGAGCTGAAAGAGAGAGAAGAGAGAGAGAGAGAGAGAGAGAGATCACTCTGTGAGCTGAAAGAGAGAGAGAAGAAGAGAGAGAGAGAGAGAGATCACTCTGTGAGCTGAAAGAGAGAGAGAGAAGAGAGAGAGAGAGAGAGAGATCACTCTGTGAGCTGAAAGAGAGAGAGAAGAGAGAGAAGAGAGAGAGATCACTCTGTGAGCTGAAAGAGAGAGAAGAGAGAGAGAGAGAGAGAGAGAGATCACTCTGTGAGCTGAAAGAGAGAGAAGAGAGAGAAGAGAGAGAGATCACTCTGTGAGCTGAAAGAGAGAGAGAGAGAGAGAGAGAGAGAGAGATCACTCTGTGAGCTGAAAGAGAGAGAAGAGAGAGAGAGAGAGAGATCACTCTGTGAGCTGAAAGAGAGAGAAGAGAGAAGAGATCACTCTGTGAGCTGAAAGAGAGAGAGAGAGAGAGAGAAGAGTGAGAGAAAGAGAGAGAGAGAGAGAGAAGAGAGAAGATCACTCTGTGAGCTGAAGAGAGAGAGAGAGAAAGAGAGAGAGAAGAGAGAGAGAGTCACTCTGTGAGCTGAAAGAGAGAGAAGAAGAGAGAGAGAGAGAGATCACTCTGTGAGCTGAAAGAGAGAGAAGAGAGAGAAGAGAGAGAGATCACTCTGTGAGCTGAAAGAGAGAGAGAGAGAGAGAGAGAGAGAGAGATCACTCTGTGAGCTGAAAGAGAGAGAAGAGAGAGAGAGAGAGAGAGAGATCACTCTGTGAGCTGAAAGAGAGAGAGAGAGAGAGAGAGAGAGAGAGATCACTCTGTGAGCTGAAAGAGAGAGAGAGAGAGAGAGAGAGAGAGATCACTCTGTGAGCTGAAAGAGAGAGAGAGAAGAGAGAGAAGAGAGAGAGATCACTCTGTGAGCTGAAGAGAGAGAAGAGAGAGAAGAGAGAGAGATCACTCTGTGAGCTGAAAAGAGAGAGAGAAGAGAGAGAGAGAGAGATCACTCTGTGAGCTGAAAGAGAGAGAGAGAAGAGAAGAGAGAGAGAGAGAGATCACTCTGTGAGCTGAAAGAGAGAGAGAGAGAGAGAAGAGAGAGAGATCACTCTGTGAGCTGAAAGAGAGAGAGAGAGAGAGAGAGAGAGAGATCACTCTGTGAGCTGAAAGAGAGAGAAAGAGAGAGAAGAGAGAGAGATCACTCTGTGAGCTGAAAGAGAGAGAGAGAGAGAGAGAGAGAGAGAGAGATCACTCTGTGAGCTGAAAGAGAGAGAGAAGAGAGAGAAGAGAGAGAGAGAGAGAAAGTAAGAAAAGACAGAGAGAGGAGTTTGTGAGAAAGAGAGAGAGAAACAGAGAGAACAGAGAGAACAGAGAGAAACAGAGAGAGGGTTAGAGGAGAGAAAGAGACAGAAGAGAGAGGATAGAGAGAGGATAGAGGTGTAGTTTGTAGTTGTAGTTGTAGTTGTAGTTGTAGTTTGTAGTTGTAGTTGTAGTTGTAGTTGTAGTTGTAGTTGTAGTTGTAGTTTGTAGTTTGTAGTTGTAGTTGTAGTTGTAGTTTAGTTGTAGTTTGTAGTTGTAGTTGTTGTAGTTGTAGTTGTAGTTGTAGTTGTAGTTGTAGTTGTAGTAGTTGTAGTTGTAGTTGTAGTTGTAGTTTGTAGTTGTAGTTGTAGTTGTAGTTGTAGTTGTAGTTGTAGTTGTAGTTTGTAGTTGTAGTTGTAGTTGTAGTTGTAGTTGTAGTTGTAGTTGTAGTTGTAGTTGTAGTTGTAGTTGTAGTTGTAGTAGTTGTAGTTGTAGTTGTAGTGTAGTTGTAGTTGTAGTTGTAGTTGTAGTTTGTAGTTGTAGTTGTAGTTGTAGTTGTAGTTGTAGTTGTAGTTGTAGTTGTAGTTGTAGTTGTAGTTGTAGTTTGTAGTTTGTAGTTTGTAGTTGTAGTTTGTAGTTGTAGTTGTAGTTGTAGTTGTAGTTGTAGTTGTAGTTTGTAGTTAGTTTGTAGTTGTAGTTTGTAGTTGTAGTTGTAGTTGTAGTTGTAGTTGTAGTTTGTAGTTGTAGTTTGTAGTTGTAGTTGTAGTTTGTAGTTGTAGTTGTAGTTGTAGTTGTAGTTTGTAGTTGTAGTTGTAGTTTGTAGTTTGTAGTTGTAGTTGTAGTTTGTAGTTGTAGTTTGTAGTTGTAGTTTGTAGTTAGTTGTAGTTGTAGTTGTAGTTTGTAGTTGTAGTTGTAGTTTGTAGTTGTAGTTGTAGTTGTAGTTGTAGTTGTAGTTGTAGTTGTAGTTTGTAGTTGTAGTTGTAGTTGTAGTTGTAGTTGTAGTTGTAGTTGTAGTTGTAGTTTGTAGTTGTAGTTCAGTGTTTCATGCATGCGCAGTTTTAGACAAACAAATCGGCCGCGACACAAACACTGGACAAACAGATGAAGTGTTTCCTGTGATGAAAGATGGAGCCTCCTCCTCTCCCTCAGTCTGCCCCGGGGCGGCTGTGGCACACACGGCTCTCTCCCTCATTCTGCCCCGGGGCGGCTGTGGCACACACGGCTCTCTCTGTCTTCAGTCTCTGCCTGCCCCGGGCGGCTGTGGCACACACGGCTCTCTCTTCAGTCTGCCCCGGGGCGGCTGTGGCACACACGGCTCTCTCCCTCAGTCTGCCCCGGGGCGGCTGTGGCACACACGGCTCTCTGCCCCCGGGCTGTGGCACACACGGCTCTCTGCTTCAGTCTGCCCGGGGCGGTGTGGCACACACGGCTCTCTCCAGTCTTCCCGGGGCCACACGGCTCTCTGCCAGTCTGCCCCGGGCGCTGTGCACACACGGCTCTCTCCCTCAGTCTGCCCCGGGCGGCGTGCACACACGGCTCTCCCAGTCTGCCCCGGGGCGCTGTGGCACACACGGCTCTCTCCCTCAGTCTGCCCCGGGGCGGCTGTGGCACACACGGCTCTCTCCCTCAGTCTGCCCCGGGGCGGCTGTGGCACACACGGCTCTCTGCCTCAGTCTGCCCCGGGGCGGCTGTGGCACACACGGCTCTCTCCCTTCAGTCAAATGTCTCTGCATTTGACCCAGACTCAGACTCAGGAGCTCCAGGTCTTGGTCAGGACGTCGGCTGGACTTGAGTTTCTCAGGTCGTTCAGTGATTTCAGCACTGAGCTTCATAGAACCACAGTTACATTTGTATTCAGTACGATACATGTGTCGATACGGAGCACTTTCGATTTGATACGATATATTTCAAATCAATTCACTACAGTCCAATAAAACATAAAGTCTAAATCATGTCTGTGACACTAAAAGTTTTTTTTAAACTTCTTCTTGTGCAAAGTTCATATGAAACACAAATATTTAAATCATCATGTGTCGCATAAACGATTTTCCTTCCTCAGAACAAACAACAAAACTGTAGCTGTAACAAAATTATTTAATAAAATAAACCAAAAAATACTCTTGGTGAAATATCGATACAGCAGCCCACGATATCGATCCTGTATCCAGAGGCGGCGCTGCCATTAGGCAAAAGTAGGCAGCTGCCCAGGGCCAACAAACCTCGAGGGGCCCCAGCCAACTGCCCTCAGTGCCACCACAGGCCGAGGCCTCGGAGCAGTTAGATTTTCTCTCTTGATGACATTAAAAGAGAGTGTTTTTACTTCTAAACAACAATCATAAGAAAAAGAATCATCATCATATATAAAGGACGTAAACAAAAATGTAATTGTACTAACAGTTAAAAATATAAAACTTCTTTCAGTTCTGGTTTTCTAGTCGGCGACTGAACTAATAAAACAAGTTTCCAATCACCATAAATCAAATAAACAAACACGAGCACGACTCAAGAACAATGGAGAAAAACAGACAATCAAATATATTTAAAAACAAAACAAAAAACAAAAAAACATTACATTATTGCAAGCATTATAGTGGGGCCCCAAACCAAAGTTCACCTGGGGCCCACTGTGTGTATCATCACATTAACCGATACGATATATCGATATTTCAATATTTTTGCACAGACCAAGTATTCAGATTATTGTGTGTTTCAGGTTGATGAGAAGTGAACAAATGCAGAGCTCACTGAGACGGACGACGTCCAAAAGACTTTTTACATTTTTAAATAACGTTTCTGTAAAAAAAAAACCTTCGTCAGATCATTTTTTCACAGTAAACTCAACCGAAGCAAGAAAAATGATCTGACAGAGAATCAAACAGATCTCAGAAGTTCAGCAGGTCTGGTCCAGTGGACTTCAGGAGCCACAGTGAGCGCCAGTCACAAAGACTGTCATTGTGTCCTTAGGCAAGACACTTCAGCCACATTGTCTATTATGAAAGTGGAGTGTGTAAGTGATGGTGGTGGTCAGAGGGGCCGTCCGTCTGTCCCAAGGCAGCTGTGGCTAC